CTAGCAGTACGAAAGCATGTAAAAATGCAAGTAGAAAAATAGGAACCACCTTAGGTGGGAAGGTAACAGTGCTCCGTGCATCTTCGGCATTTACTCATGCCAGCCACATGATCACAGAGACGTCTTCAGACAGCGCTGGCTCTTCGGCTTTGAAATGGAGATGAACACCGCCCCCTAGAGTCAGGAATAACTAGCATGCATGTGCAAGGGAACCTTTACCTTTACCTTTTATGAGCCAATTGAATAGTGCCAACTCCTTCTATAAGTCCTTTCTATACCATCAGATATTACCTCAGAAATAGGCATTTTCCATTGTACTCCCACACTGGAATCCCTTTTCTACAGAGATCTAGTCTGTTCCATCGCTTGTGGGTTCCAGGAGAGCACTTACGGCCGGACTGTTTCAAACTGTGATTTAAGACTTGAACTGGGCAAATCCATGACTTTGTATATTTCCTCTTTTTTGTATTATGCTGATGTTGTATTTATTTTATGAGAGGGTTTGTTTATTTTTCTTTAAGGACAAAGACAAGGTTTTTTTCCTTTTAAAAAAAATATTAGCTGCCTCAAATTGGCAACAGGCAAATTATGCCATTAAATAACTATCCCTGCTGCCATGTTTAGGAGTCCGCCTGTAGGATCTCTAGTAGGGTGAAGACTGCCTTGTTTATTAGCATCACAGTAATAACAAAAGGACACCTGCTTGTTTTAAAGGAATGAGGATGGTTTTGAATGAGCTCTGCCAAAATATTCATGTGAGAAGCATTACTTCAGTAACAACCAATGACAATCATTTGGCTGTGTATTCCAGTGTTATGAATTTTATCTGGGGAATAGGAAGTTGATTGTATGTATCTTTTCTTGACTCAGAGACTTTGAATAACCAGCAATAACTATGCTATTGGTCCTACTGGAAACACAGATTTGTAACTGTCGTGCTCCTTTTTCCCCATAGGCTCCAGATAAATCATGCTGGCCATCGGAGGGTGAACCTGTCTGCACAGAGATGCTCACCATACAGCAAGGGCCTGAAAAGATCATTTCAGGATGGCCTTGTGTTCAGCTCAGACTAAAATATGTACGTGAGTTATTCAGTGGACTGTCGTGGAAACACGAACACTAATGCACAGACATAGCTTGCTGGCACAGCACGTGGATGTTTAAATGAGCTTGACTAGAGATGCTTGTGAACTAAGTAAATTTCAGAGACTGAAGATGTTAACTTCCCTCTTTTTCAGTTTGTGGCTCATGGTGGTAGATGGACCTTTTTTATTCTTAAGATAGCACTTTAATGTATCTGGAATTGCCAGTCGATGCAAAGCTAGGAAGATAACGTGGGAGATGTTTTATTTTCTTTGGAGGAACTCAAGTGTTGTTGTTGCTTTCTTGGAAAAATTAAATGTATCTGCTCCATGCTTAGAAACTAATTACTATGTTTTAAGTGAAGAACACCCCTTCGCCAAGATCCTTTCTTGATTTGGGATTCTTTTTATTGGTTTTACATGCTCATATTCTTGAAATTTTGTTTTATTGTATGTGACTTTTATTTATTTATCTTGTGAATATATATGCATACGCATGCACACATACACAAATATATGTGTATGTATGTATGTATGTATGTGTACACACACACACACCAGACAGAACTATAAGTTCTGGTTATGTTTGATGCTGGTTGGAGATAGGGAAGTAGAAGCCCCGTTGTTTCCATGTGAAGTGAAAGTAAATGGAATCCTGTAGAGTTAGTTAAACTCCTGTTTGCTGTTCCTGATTCTCCTTATGGTAGAGGATGAACATGCACTGTCTTGATTTCTTTGCTTTTGAACTTGCGGTGAGCTTATAGCTTACTCCTCCTCAATTGTACCTAAGCTTCTGAGTTACACTGAATTTTTAATTCGTGTACTGTGCTTACACTGATGCCTCATTGCTTTGTCAGGAGAAAAAGGCAAAGGAAAGAGTGTTGCAACAGTTCCGATTTCCTTTGGGGGAAGGAGAAGAGTTGCCAGATCCTGAGGTTCTGGTGGGTTTTCTCACAGTTGTCAGACAGCTAGTGCCATACCGGAAGAGGACCAGCCCTTTAGTTCTGCATTGCAGGTAAGAGCCCAAATCCCATCCTGGGTCAAGGGTATCTTTCTTGGGTGTCAGTCTTGGATTGGTAAATACTAAATACTCCCTGTTGTCTACATTGGACGTCAGTATACAACAATTAGGGATGCGGTGGCTCAATGGCTAAGACGCTGAGCTTGTCAATCAGAAAGGTCGGCATTTCAGTGAGTCAAATCCCTAGTGCCAATAAAATCCCATTACCTGTCCCAGCTTCTTCCAACCTAGCAGTACGAAAGCACGTAAAAATGCAAGTAGAAAAATAGGAACCACCTTAGGTGGGAAGGTAACAGCGTTCCATGCACCTTCGGTGTTTAGTCATGCTGGCCACATGACCACGGAGACGTCTTTGGACAGCGCAGGCTCTTTGGCTTTGAAACGGAGATGAGTACTGCTCCCTAGAGTTGGGAACGACTAGCACATATGTGCTGGGGGAACCTTTACCTTATATAATAGTTATATGTCAACTCCTACTAATTCTTACTTCTTTCCCAGTTCGGGAGGTGTAGGCCAGATGGGCATACTCATTGCCTTAGATACTCTGCTGCAGCAGATGAAAGGAGAGAAAAATGTGGATGTGTACGGTGTTGTTTTGAGGCTGGTGAGGAGCTGTTGTCTCATGACACCATCATTGGTAAGTAAAGCAGAGAGCTGGATCAGCAAAAGAAGATTCCAACCTCTAGACCAGTGTTTCTCAACCTTGGCGACTGTAAGTCCTGTGGACTTCAACTCCCAGAATCCCCCAGCCAGCAAATGGGACTTAAAGTCGCCAAGGTTGAGAAACACTGCTCTAGACTCATCATGATTGCTATGCCCTTAAAGCCTATCCCTGCACAGGCCATTGTCCCCTTAACTGTGCGGATATCTTTTCTGATGACCAAATATGCTTGTTTTTAAATAAAGCAAAAATGTATCAGATGTGCTCCAGAACATTCTTATCAGGAACATTTGAGATGCATTTTTGGCTTGTTCATCACCATGGCAAGAACAAGTCATTGTTTTAGGTTAGCCTTATCCAATTGATGCCTTCCAGATATATTGGGCTATACTCCAGCCATTGGTGGTTCATGTCCCTTCCACATGCAATGCAGAAAGAAATACGCAATCTGGAGAAGAATTGCAGCTTCTCAAATCAAAATGGTGCAGTTAGAACTAGGAAAATATATGGACCATACTGTAAATAAAACATAGGCTTTTTATTGTGCAGACAAGACAAATACCTATTTATTGTATTGAATGATATGTTGTAAACACTTTCAGTCATGTATTTTCAAATGCCACTTCATTATATTTATGCACTACTACCTTGAGCTTCTACAAGAGTAAATCTTTCAGGGAGTTGAAAGACAATATTGTGCCACCAGAGGGTGTTGTGTGCAACCTGTTCCCAGACTGAAACTTAAAATATGGATGTAAAATACGTACTGCATAGATTTTATACTTAGCTCTGTGACACTTATGCAAGTTTATTTAATCAAAGAACTCCCTGGCTCTGCCTTGTAGAATACAACAAGGAGGAGATAAGGGTAGAAATGACCATTAGTTCAGCCTTGGAAACGTTCACATATGTAGCAAAGTGGTCAGTCTGTGGTTGGTTTGGTTTTTTTCCCCTGCAGCGATAAAACAGTAGCAGATGCTGATAATATATGAAGCTCTTCATGCTACATTACCACTTCTAGCCTGAACCTGTATTTCCTAGTGTGGTGTGATGGCCTTCAGTAATATGCTTCTCCCTCCCTCCCTAGTATCAATACATTTTTTTTTAAAAAAAATCTTGCTTATCTGCATTATCTCATGTATTATGTGTCTCTTTCTCTCTCCCCACCCCCTCATTCCTCTAGGATAAATATATTTATCTATATGAATGCATTCGTGATGTCATCACCCAGAAACAAGTTTAGGCTCTGGTTTCTGCTCCTGGTTAGATGATGGATAGAACTTCAGTGTGCAGCAGAATTATGGACATAGACTGAATTGGTGCTTCCCTGTGCTGTGATGAGCAGCTACCCCAGGGCTCTGACCTTGATCTGTGCAGAAGGTGAAATAATGAGTCTGTAAAAATGCTGGCTGTGATGTTCCACTCTTCCAGTTGGAGAAAGATAATTTCTGCTGACAGCAGACTTCTGTTCCTCAAGGCAGAGTTGTGCATGCCATAACAACTCATTCTTCATTCTGGATACACCGTTTGCTGAGTTGGGGGGGGGGGGCGGAATAGAAAAATCACCTCCTGAGCCTTCCCAAGTTTTGTTCAGTTCTTAAAAATACAATGAAACATGTTTTTGGATATGGATAGAGTTGGTAGGTTCAAGATGTCTCATGATGTCATTGTACAAATTTACAATAAGTACATTTCAGATAATAACAGCTTTGTGATAAAAACAAAGCTGGAGAAGTTGCAAGAATGGGTAATGGAATAAAGATCCAGTGATATTCATTCATATTCTCTCTCTCTCTCTCTCTCTATCTCCCTCCCTCCCTCCCCCCCCCTCTCTCATTTCTGATGTTGCATGTTGGATCCCCAACATACCCAGTTACAGCAGTTAAGTCCATCATACGGAATGCCATTGTCTGGATACCAGCTTCCCCCCCTCCCCCTTATTTTGACATTTCCCAATACAAATAGGCTGAGTAAAATACCTTATTGTTAACTGGCTTATTAACAGTAGGATAATCCCAAATCAGTGATTTATCTTCTTTCCATATTCCACAACCGAATTATGCAGAAAGATTGTTTTGCATATATAAAATTATTCATATTTTTTTAAAAAAACCAGCCTAAGTCTGCCTCTCTTACAAAGAGAAAGAGGTAAGAGTATTCTAAAGATATGTGTTGTGTAATGTAACACTGGAGGTAAATAAAAATGGATTAAAAGTTTACCAGATGAATTTTGGTAAAGACGTTCTCAAAAAGGTTATCTTATAGAGAATATGAATAACTTTCCTAATTTGGTATGAAAGAGATTTGTTTCAGTTGCATAAGTTTTTATTTAATGCAGAATAGGTTCCTTGAAAGGTTAAAATTACAGAATGGTCTGGAAAAGCTGATACCAACTACACAAACACCATCTTGCCTTATTTTGAATTTTCCCAAAACTTATGCCTAGCTATTGTTGCAGATAAAGCAAGTTTTCCTAAACCCCTTAATCCATACACAGAACCAGCTAGAAAAAACAACTCATATTGCAAATTTATAGCTTCCTCTGTTTCTCTTGAGTTCCACTCTTAACTCTGGATTCCTGAATCTCACTTGGTTCCACTTCGAAGTGTGTAGCAAAGAAAAGGTGAAAACAACTGCAGTAGTAAGTTTTGGAGACACAGCTTGAAAGTTGGGTTTTTCCTCTCATAAGTTCTGATCTGTGATCCTATTATTTACATGAAAGTAACTCATTGTACTAAACTTAATTTAATTATTAAAATGAATATTCACAGGATTCCATGACAGGCTTTTCTTATCCTAAAGCATTGCTTGAGAAATTTATTTTGAGTTTCATGAAATCCAGTTTTGCTTTTCTTTGACTTACCCCTAATTTCATTTCTTAAAGTTGTAACTTTAATTTTGAAATGGGATTGAACTATCCATTGGGAGAAGTGCATTTTTTACAGATAGGTATGAGTTACCCCAATTTCCTGGGGAAAATTGTTTTATAATAATAAATTATTCTATGAAAAATGAAATATTTTGCATTCAGTTTTGTCTACTTTTTTCACTGACATTTATGCTAAGAAAAAGAAATTATACTTTGCCATGTGCATGATGTTTCACTAAAAGACAAAGTCATGGTCAAGTTTAATTTAATTAGTAGTCTTGTTCCAAAGGGCAAAGAAAAGATAGTCAGTGAGCTTTAGAAACAATGAATTCATAAATCTAAGAAATGTAGGCTAGCACAAACCAGTAATCACTATGTATGTGCCTTGAATGGTTCAGCAGCTAAATTGACAGTGTATTTGTAGATCATAGCTTTGGTGGACCATACTTTCTACAGCAACTTTTTCCAGTCCAAGCTGTGGATTTTGAGTACTCATTTCAGATCTTCTGGGACTGTCAATTTGGAAAAGGATGCCTGAAGTTTACAATCTTAAAAATAGACAGAGTAAAACAATAGGAGAGAGGGAGGAGGAGGAGGAGGAGGAGGTAGGGTTGAACAGCAGTATTTTTTCAGCTATATGTAATTCAGCTTAGATCAAATGTACTTAGTTTTTGACTTATGACTCAATGACCATTTGAAATCGTGGATCTTCCAATGAACCCAGTTCCAAAGTTTTGACAACAAACCCCCATCTCTATGGTCACATGACAGCATTTTATGAGACTACACTTGAAACATTGCATCCATTTTGTTTGCACCAAAGGGCTTGGGGGGGTATTG